TTTATCTCCAGGCATCGTTCCGTGGGGCCGGGGTGGCACGACTTCCTCAAGGAGGTGGGCAAGAAACCACAGATAGGCGTCAAAGTAATGCTCGTAAGCATTTCAAGGAAGGCAGCGGGGGAGCCAAGCCACGCAGCGGCATCTGTTTTGAAAGATCAAGCGATGGGTCATGTGGGAAACCCCCAAGCCAGCTGAACCCCTGGCTGGGCTGAGAAGACGTCCCCTGCCCCGGTCCCTGGCAGCCCAGGGGGGCTGGCTCCCTCTCGGCCTCCAGGCGGCCGTGGAGGAGCATTTATGCAACAGGTCAGGGCTGCCCTCAGGCCTGCTGTGGCATGAGAGCTGTCGGGTCAGGTGGCTGCAGTCCTCCCCCAAAAAGCAGGCGCTCCTCTGCGCTCGCGCTCCTTCCGTGTGGCCCGCAGTTCCTCTCTGCCCAGTGCCTGGCAGACGGCAGGGGATATGTGGGGCCCTGCAGCCTGACTCCGAACCTGCTTCCTATGTCTGGAATGCCCCTCCTGAGTCCTGCCCACCTGCTGGCAAGAGTCCCCAGAGAGAGGGTTTGCCTCCTCCAGACCCGGATGCCAGTAGCAGTGCAGGGCTAGATGTAGATTTGTGCTTAGAGGCGTAACTAGGAAGGCAGGCTGCAGTGAAGCCCCAGGACCCCTGCCTGCCCTGGCCTCTCTGCAGTTGTTCTTCCGTGGTTCATTTGGAAGAAGAGAAACAGCTTTTCTGCGGGGCAGCCGGAGGGTCCCTGGCACCCTGCCCGGACCCCTGTGGTGTCCGTACAATGAGCTGAGCTGGGAAAGTGCGGTCTGCAACCCGGATGGGCATGGTGGCAGAGAGGCCTGTTCCGTGAGAAGGAACCCTAGGCTACCCCACTCCTGTGGGGAGAGGGAGGGCAGGACGCTGAGCCCTGAGGGCCCAGGGGCTTCCTGCCACTGCTGCTGCCCCCACCAGCCACAGGCTTCCAGGACCACGCCCTCAAAGCTTTGGGAAACGCACCGCTGTGGGGATGCGGGCACGTGAGCTGAGGACGACAGGACAGGGTCGGGTGGAGTTCCCCATCCCTGCCACGGTTTCCCCTTTGGCAGAAGCAAGCCAAGGGCGGTAGGAGTACGTGGGCGGGCAGGGAAGCCCCTGGAGGCTCAGAACCATCCCACGCAGAGGAGCCTGTCTGAACCGAGGGAGCGGCCAGGAAAGGGCTCCAAAGCCCAGGGACTGGCATCCGAGGAGTCCTGGCCACGGCCAGCGAGGTTGGTGTCTCTCGCTTCGTCTTGATACGGCCAGCCAGGTTGGTGTCTCTTGCTTCGTCTCACGGCAGCCGACTTCCGCAGGCAAGCTCGGTGTGGCATGAGGTTGCCCCTCCTCTTGGCTACTGGAGGACCCCCTTTAAGAGGGCAAGGGGGATTAACTGTCCTCAGCAATCGTGTGTCCTTTTTTCCACGTCCTGTATCAAGTCGCATTTCTTCCCACGGAGGAGCTTCCGTTCTTTCATGGCTTCTCTGACGCAAATCTAGGTTGGGCGCCTGAGGCCCTTCCAAACGCGTTTTTCCGTTTCCCACCCCACCTCATGGCAGAAATCTTCCACCTCCGAACTGAAGAGTCCAAGCAGCTCCCGTGGGCATCGTCGGCCTGGAGAGCTGTTCAGTGCAGTTTTCTGTCTTTTTGTGGGCCGTGTCCTTCAATACAGAAAATACAAGTGGTTCCAGCTCCTCATTTTCCTGCCTAACACTCCGTAGTTCCTTGCAGTTTCTTCAAGGTTATGTTGTTTGTTCCCCTGCGGATTGTAAGACAGAATATTTGTCAGCCACGTTTATGAATCCGGAGGGCCGGCCACCACGTGGCCCTGGGAGGCAGCCCCGCCGACCGACCGCTGGCCCCGAGGTCCCCCCCCTGCTCACCCGACGGCTCTTCATCCAGGCGTCCATAATCGCCACCTGAAGGCCTGGAGCTCTTCTCCGCAGCCCTGCCCCCTGGCGCTCTCCTCTCCCCCCCGCGAGCACTCCTGGTACCAACCCCGAGATTCACTGCCTTCTGTGATGTTGGGGGGTGGAGAGCGTTGCCTCTGGCCCCCTTGCTTTCCCTTCCTGGAGGGCAGTCGGCCCACGCTCGCAGTCTGCGTCTTCGGGGAGGGGAGCAAGCGTGGCAGATGTCACGCGGGCAGCTCCCTCGGCCTCCGGGCTCCTCTGATGAGTGAACAGCACTGACCGCAAAGGCCTCCCCCTGGACCCCCCTGCCGGCCCCCGCCAGGCTCCTGCGCCTTTGCTCAGTGAACCCTTTGCTAGCTCCCCTCCTTTGGTCGCCGCAGAGTCGGCAAGTCCTGTCTTCTGCCCCTTGTTTTGTTCTGCTTTTAGCAGTTTATAAGGCCGCTCAACTCTACCGTGACTCTGGACAACATACAATAAAGCCAGTCATCAAACGGACAAACCAACCAACCCGAATTCTTCCAGGACGGCCACTAAAAAGCAGGACCCGCCACCCGCTCTGAACCCAAGCTGGGTTTCCAGGGCTCTCTCACCCACGGCCCCATCTTCAGGGGCGGCAGCCCAGAGAGGGGGCGCTGCGGCAGGTCATGGAGGCACGCGCCGAAAGTCTCTCAGTTGTTACTTGACCCACACCTCTGGTGTCACACAGAGCCATTGATGGACTTCCAGAAGGTGGCTCCGCCTCGCGGCAGCGCGGTCACCCCACATTCTGTCCTCTTCTCCTGGGCGTCTAATCCTTTGCTGAAGTCGAGGAATACCATGTCCAGGATATTGCCATGGTCAACTAGACTGGTCACTCAATGAAAAGAGAGATCAGTTCATTTCGGCATGATTTCTTCTTGATAAACCCCCGCCGGCACCTGCCAAGAAATGCATTCTTTAGGCATCTGATACTGTAATTTATTCCTCCTCACTGCTTCCTGCTTTTTGCTGAGGAATTTGGATTGAAGGATGTTGTGAAAAGCCATTCAAAAATATGAATAAAGTATGCTAATTGGATCACCTACATGCATAGACAGTACACATTTCTGTTAGCTCCACACTGTCCTATTTGAGTTCCTTAAGGACTCAGAATTGGATGCCACAGTATCTGGACCAAATATTTATTTTTAATTTTTGAATAAGCTGTAGAATACTTTTCATGACATTACTATTGGTTTTGGCTCTTCAGGCTTTATTTCCTGAAACTATTCATTTGTAATTTATTCATTTATTTTATTCAGTTTGTACACCACCCAGCTCCTAACAACTCTGGGTGGTTCACAAGAAAACATAAACTATAAAGTGAGCGATTAGGAGCAAGACATCCACATCCCAAAGACTCTGCCAATCACATCTGTTGTCCCTCAACGAGCCCATCATGTTAGTGAGAGACGCAGCCACCCTGGAAGACATTTATGGGGTCCCCCCAACCAACTTTCTAGACTGAAGAAGCTGCTCGGACGAGCAGCAAAACGTATCAAGCCAAAAGAAAAGAAGTCCGGTTGCCACGACTCAACCTCCAGACGATTCCACCTGGATGGCTGAGAAACTTCAACACGTAAACTATAAGCAACACAACAATAAAAGAATGGCACAGCCAAGAAGCAACAAAGCACGGCTGCTCCTTGAAAGGGGCTATGCCCCTCCTAGCCAGAGGCCCGGGTGAAGAGCCAGATTTCAGGGCCCTTCGAAGTGGTGGTGGGGTGGGAGCCACCCAGATCTTGGCAGAGCCTCGTTCCAGAGGGCAGGCACTGCTACAGAGAAGGCCCGCTTCCAGGGTCCTGAGAGATGGCACTGCTTAATTGGAGGAACCCAGAGCGC